CCCCCTCAGCCTCCCCCCCCCGTCTTTCATTTGGTCCCTTCGAATCGGGTGCCCGGGGTTCTTCGTCTCTGCTTGGGAGGTGCCGCCGCAAGCGCTCAGTGGCGGAGCCCTTTAAGGAGGGGACACTTTGGCAGGACGGGTGAGCCACCTCCTTCGCCTTCTTGCGCCTTTGCCGCGCCTCGCGCGCCTCCGCCTCGGGGCGGTGCGCTTGAGCAGCCTGCGCGGGGCGAAACGGGGAAGGCGTGAGGAAATTGGAAGGCCGAGCGGAGGAGGTTGACCCCATGTGAATTTAACCCCTGTTTATTGGGGGGTGTGCCTGGGTGAAATGTGCGGAATCATCACTCACCCAAAGATAGGGGTTGATTAAGGGGCTGAAGTTTTGAAGGCGAAGCGAATATGGACATTGATTTGCATGCGGTGTTGTTGACTCTTGCAGCATGCTTTGAATTGGCTCGAAGCCTGAAATCAAGAAAGGGATCGCCTACGAAAGCCAGCTGCTCTTTCCGGGGCTCTCTTTCACCTCCAGATGAGAGAGCTTGTGATTGTGGGAGATAGCTACAGGCCTAAATCAAGCTCCACAAACATCATCTCAGGGATTACATCGATCCCGGATTACTGACCTACGAGGTTCGTCCAGGGACCCCAGGAAATTCTCACTTGCCCAAAGCAAATCGACCTGTTGACCTTTTGGTTACCCCTCCCTTTGGTTCATTTTCATCATGACCAAAGCTTTTTCACCATGTTTTTTTCTTTCCCATAGGTACAACTGAGAAGTCATTTCCGGCACACAAACAAACAAACGAGCCACTCCCTGTTCCACGTCTACCGTGATGGACAAAATCCATGTCAGGCACCAGTCAGGATGTCGTCCATCGCTGCTGCGAAGCAAAGTTTTGTCCATCAGATGAAGCCATCTGGCCCCTTGGGTTCCTTGAGAGCCTTGGGTGCGTGGAAAGTGGGGGATATGATGTGCACGTGGAGAGTTTGTTTCTGAGTCTGAGACATACACCAGTGTCAAAACTATGGAACCGGCCAACATAGTTGTCTCCACGCTGCTTTTCCTTTAATGCATGCCACAAAAAATACGCAGGTCTATAAGTGCCTTTATTGCTATTTGGCTGGATCTTTGGATTTTAACTTTTTGGGAAACATCGGATTTTCCATTTGACCCACAATAAGTTGAACACTTTTTGGAGAGGGTTCAACAGCCTCCGCGCGGGCCGCCGCCAAACAGCGCGAGCTGGCGAGAGCTGTGGCGCCTGCTTCGGAGCACGGTGGCGGGCGCAAAAGGGAGCAGAAGCCCTTGGCATTGGCGTCCATTTGCTTAAGACTATTTTCCCCTGTTAGTTTTAAAGGGAATCTATCACTGGACATATTTTTTCAGAGGGAAGCCACCCGAAAGCTCGGAGGTTGCCAGGTTTGGTTTAGAGGTGGTTTCCATAGCCGCTAAAAGTTGTCAGCTAGCAGGGGATCAGTTGGGGCGCAGAAAAATGGGGGTTGTTCGATGGATTTCCCCGTTTGAGCTACGCACACCCTAAAGCGACACCACCCAGTGCCTTAGTCAGCTGATTTGGGGCTGGTGAACCCCTTCGAGGAGGGTGCTGCTAGCTTGGGGGAGGAGTGGGGGCGTGTGTTTTTTCTTTTTTTTGCTCTTTTTTTTCTGTCTTCCTGAAGTTGGCGGGAACCATCCGTTTCGCCTCAGAGTTTTAGGTTTTTTTTTGGGCTGGCTTTGTGGTGGTTTCCATTTTAACCCACTAAAAGGTTATTCGCTTGTAGCAGGGCATCGAAGGGGACCAGCCCAGAGTTGGTTTTTTGCGTATCCTAACACCAAAGGCCAAGCCCACTTGTCTGGGCTCATATTCGCCGGGTTGTTAAAAGGCAAGCCCTGAGCAGAAAAACCCAAGAAATGGAAGCCGGTTTCTGCCCAAGTTGCGCTCTTGCAGCAAAGAAGGAAGCCCAGAGACGGTCAACATCTAGGACCAACCCATTTAATAGGTTTCCATTGTTTTGCTTTCCATCTTCAACCGAAAGGTACCGCCAAAGGAGGCACACCCAAGTGACCCAAAGCAGTTAATCATGAGGGAAAGGCATCAAGTTGCGTGGAATGATTATTCCGTTTTGGGGTGTTTTTTGGAAAGGTCCACCTACGCGGGTTCCGTTTTTTTGGAAAAATCTGAAGTTGCCAATGGCCGCTGCTTGCTCTCGATCTATCTCGCGTCCTTGCTTCGAAGCAGTCGCCGAGATCCTGCGTCTCACACATGGGTTTTCCGCAGGCGAGCTTTCCTTTGGGTTTCCTTTTGCATCAACCTAAAATAGGGTGCCCTCGAAACAACACGCACCCATGGTTAAGGCAGTGAGGACGGGTAAGGTGTTGTTGGCTTTGCATTAGAAATAGATGGCACTGGTTTAGATGGGTTTTATGCCCCATTTACCAGGGAACCTCATCTATTTTTCCACCTGTGATGATAGCCAAACATGGGCGGGGCATCCCTTTCTCCACTGATGTTTAACGGTGTGTCTCAAAATGCGGGGACCACAAAATGGTGCTGGTTTCCCTTTTGGTGAAACCCTTGAACACCCCCCCCCCCCTGCCCCAAAAGGGATACTGTGGATGGACGAAATCCATTTCGCACGACCGAGGAAACCCGGAATGATTCGCTTCCCCTGTAAATACTAACAAGCGTTCTGGTTTCCCCCGGTCACCAAGTGGTGCGTTGCACGGATTGCGCAACCATCCACAGTACCCTCAACAGGACGAGCCATTGGCACATGGTGAGCTCCCTCATGGAGGTCCCATGAAGCCGGTCGTAAGCAGAAACCTGGTTGGTTGAGACCTGAGCCAAAAAACATGGGGTGGGTCCAAGGTAACCTCCTCAAAATGATTCTCTAAATGGCTCTGGCCTTTTTGAGGGTACTTTTTTTTGTTTTTGTGCGTGTGTGGTTTTGAAGGGAAACCAAGAGGAAGATCACTATGTCGGGGGGGGGGGGCCTTTTCAAAAGCAAGACACGCCCAAATACTCCCAAATGGCAACCCCCCCTACAAATACACGTCAATCCACTCGAAAAGCGCTTCAGCGTCGTACTTATTGCGAGGCTCAGCTCAGCTCGTCACGTTTCACCCAAGCCGCTTTGATTGCAAGGCGACAACGCGCTCAGCGGGTGTCGGATACGGCAGCTACCGATCTTTGTCATGCCTCTCAGGGGTGAAAGGAATGCTGAGACTTGGACATAAACCCACATGATGTCCACCAGAGGGGTGAGTGGAATTCACCTGGTGTTTTCCTGTTGTTTCCCTTTAAAAACCACGCAGTAGGGGTACCCTGAAAAAAGGCATACCCATAGTGCCGCCCTTCTGATGATGCCCTTTGGCTAAAGTTTCAACGGTTTCGGCGTACCTTTTCCGAGCGACCAACTTGGCCAAATTTGGCGCCTGTGCTTCCGTCCCCGACTCCGCTTCGTGGATTCGCTGGATTCGAATCCGGCAAGAAAACTCAGACCCCGAGCCTGAAGCTTGCAACATGTTTCTTGGTGGCAAGCCCGGCTCGGCCATCCGCTTCAACTCAGCTTTTTGGCTCTTTTTTCGTTGGTTTGGTGGATGGGTTTCCGTATTTAACACCTTTTGTGGTATTTAGTTGGTTTAGTTGGTGTGGTTAGACTCACATTTCGCGTCTGAGAACGGACGGCCCAGGTTCGGGCTCCGGTTCTTCGAGTTGCCATTGGGGGGGTGGGGGGTGGGGGGTGGGGGGCCCCTGCAACAGTGGTCTGATTTCTCACATCTCACCCAGGGACATCCCTGTATTACACCACACTCCCCCAACCATGAACGCTACATCAGCAAGGATCCCAGATGAAGATTTGGACCGTTGAAAGAAAACCCGTTTCGGGAATCAGCGAGACGGCGAGACACAGCTTCCGCATTCGCAAAAAAAGGACGCAGCGGCCTCTCGGCTTTCGGTTTTGGGGAACGAAAGGTTTGCAGTGTGCAATGCGACCCTCCAGAATTTGGAGATTCATCAGTCAAGCCCCAAAAGCCGTGGAAAGTGTAGCGAGCCGTTGTTGCTTGGGAGGAGGGGTACGTCGAAGTCTGTGAGGAATGGGCGCAGAGAAGGTGTATTTCTGGGCTGTTCACAGGTCCTTCATCCATCCTTGCCTTGGGTTGGCGCCAGGAACCGGCCCCAAAATTTGTGGCTTTGGGACCATGGAAACCGGATCGGCCGTCCCACACCTTTTTTGGAACCGCCCAGGTTTCTCGGGGAAAAACAAACAGCAGATGTCTTCCAAGAATCATGACAACATGGTCCACTCCGGCGGTTGCAAGAAACGGGAAATCAAGCAGCAGAAAATCAAAATCGGCTATAGTCTGCGAAGAGTCATATTTTTTCCTGGAAAAACGAGCAGAGAATCCTCCATTCTTTTGAGCAATCCACCTCCCCCGAGCTTCCGCGAACGAGTCTTTCGGGGAAGATGTCTGCTCCGAAAAGTTGGCTCGTTCGAGCGCCGGAAAGGCAACACCAGGGCAGAAGGAACTATTCTGTTTGAAGAGGTTGCCGGTGAAGCCCTTACTGTGGATGGTTGCGAAATCCATGCAACGCACGAACGAAATGATGCCATGGAATTGAAATCAGAAGGTTTGTTGGTATTTACAGGGGAATCGAATCATTCTAGGGTTTCTTGGGTGGTGCAGGAAGTCGTCCATCCACAGCAGGAATCCATGCTCACTTCCGGAGTTTCGTTTCTTGACTTCAGCTTTCCAGGTTTCTTAGGTGCTGCGGTTTCTGATTTTGCAACCACTGGAGTCTCTTCTGACCCGAATCAGAAATAGGTCCATAACCCCATTTAGGATAACGCCCAACCATTGTTATTGGGTTATGGAGAAGAAATAGGTCCATAACCCCCATCGTTTAGGGTAATGACCCCATTGTTCCTGAAGAAATAGGTCCATATAGCCCTCCTTATGGAGACTCTAGGTCCACAGTACTTCGGCCCGACGTGGCTCTGAGGCTGCCTCTGTACACCTCCGTGGCTGTGCGGGGCCGAGCGTTTTTGGGCTTTTGGGCCGACTGCTTGGAGCGTAACTGGCGGCTGGTGCCCTAAAACTTTCCATTTGCTGGCTCTTAAACTAGTCCTTTCCCTTAAACTTTATTAACTTGTCCTTGCACTTAAATGGAACGTCTTAAGCTGAAGTTTCCATTGCCCTTAAAGATGTTCTTTTTTCCCTGCTGGCTTTGAAGGGAATCTATTACTATTGGATATATATCTTTAGTTTTGCTGGGGGTTCTTAAGCAAATGGAGGAAAATGAACATGCGGGTGTATGTGTCGAAATAGAGGGACCCCGAAAACTGTGGCTGTCCTGTTGGTTTGGCTTTAGTGCAAGGCGAACAGTGAGGGGCCCGGTTTTGCCACTGGCTTTAATCCACCATCTAGAGGATAAGCCCGACCCTCCAAGCAGGTAGTATGGAATCACTTTGTAGGGGTCACATGTTGATGGGGTTCTGAAAACTATCTTTGGGTCGCGGTGGTTTATTCAAGCGCCATGTGGGGGGTTGATTAAAAGGTCTTGGTTTTAAAGGGGATCTCTCACTACTGGACATATTTTCTTATTTTTCCCAGGCGGCTTGCAGCAAATGGAAGATAATGGTTATTAAGGATATACTTACTACCAAGAGGATGACCATCCCTGGCAAAACCCCAAGTAGTCTCTCAATGAAACCTCCCGGCAAAAAGCATACACCCTCACTGGGGCTCATAGTGAGTAACAATCAGTCAGCATATGGGACCTGATTAGAGCAGATAGCAAACAATTCGTGAGTCCGGGTATTGTTGAGGTTTGTGCTAACTGTCCTTATTGGTGTCAATATGCGAAGTGAATGTTACTCACTATAAACCAACACCACCAACACCACCACCAGCACCAGCACCACCACCACCACCACCACCACCACCACCACCACCACCACCACCACCACCACCACCACCACCACCACCACCACCACCACCACCACCACCACCACCACCACCACCACCACCACCACCACCACCACCACCACCACCACCACCACCACTGGGGCTTAAGCCAATGAAAGACACCCAGATGGATCTGTGGCTTCTCAGACCACCTTCGCGGACCTCCACGACCGCACGGGGCGGATGAAGGCCAAGGGCGTGATCCGTGAGGGCATCTGCTGGCGCGGAAGCCCGGGCGACTCACTCCCCGAGTTGCTGGAGTTGAGTCACTTGTTGGGTGTGTCGTCTTTTTCTTTTTAGGGGACCCCTCCAAAATGGATTTCGGTTTGCTTTTTTTCACTACCCCCAAAAAGGGTGCCCTCAAAAAGGTTGCCCTCAAAAAAAGGCACCCTTTTGGGTTTGGACCATAGTGGGAAACGAAAAGCGTGGTTCCTTTGTGTTGCCACTCCATCGGTCAGCTAATGGGAACCCCAGATTCAGAAACGCCAAGAAGGATGACAGGAAGGGCGCCAAGCGGGGCGCCAAGCAGGCCGTCGACAAGACGCGGGGCAACTCCAAGAAGGACACGGCGAGGGACAAGAAGCGCAAGGCCTGCTTGATCGAGGACTCTAGCCAGGAGTCTCCGAGCAACGCGCCCCCAGCGGCTGCGCTCTGGAGCGGGGCTGAGTGCGCGGCGGCTCAAGGTGCCTGGCAGGAATATGGGGAGCGCTTGCTCTCCGGCGAGACTGACTGCCGGAGTACGCCACCATGGTGGACCTGGCACCCCCAGCCTGTCCGGGAAGCTTTTGGCTTGAACATCGCCCCAACACGGAGCCGCCTGCCTGCCTGGTTGATTTTCAGCGAAAGGCGCCCCTTTTGGGCGGAAACTCACATCACTTTTACGGCGCGCGACGCCGGACACCGTCCTGGGTCCGGATGGGTTCTAGATAGATCTGACGCTGCCATGAACCAAAATCTGAATATGACTCAGGCGTGGACCTTTGCACTCTTTGGGTTTGGGCCAGAACTTCCGTTTGCCTAAGAACATGTGTTCTATTTTCCCCTTTTGGTTTTGAAGGGGATCTATCAGAAATAATGTTGACCTATTATTCCTCAAGCCCTGTGTATCAGTCGGGGTTGGGGGGCCCCTCCAAAAGTGGTCTGATTCCCCACATTTCAGCCAGGGACACCCCCCGATGAATAAACAGGGGTTGATTAATACGGGGTCAACAGTTACATGTTATTCATTTCTTCCAGAGGGCTTAAGCAAATGGAGGATAGAAAAGTTCGGACCCTGTTCCTGGGCCATCGACTCGATTGAGGTGATATGTTTGGAGCAATCGAACCTTCTACCGAGTAGCAGGGGCCACTCCCAACCATTCTCCGCCCTTTTGATGTCATACGTTGCTTTGTCTTGATCCAATGGTGGCTCTTTTGAGGGTAGTAGTGGCTTGAGAGGGGAAACACAGGGAAACTTGCGATTGCCTGAGATGTTCTTTGGGTCCCCATAATTTCTAGCTCACCTAAATGAGCTGCCCAGATTCACCGGACACGCAAAGTCGGGCAAATCAGGTTTTGAAGAATTCTGGAACCTGCTTTCTTATTTTGGCCGACCCAGTTTTGAGCATGGATCCGACTCTTCAGACCATGTACCAACTGTACGTTGAACTAATATCGGGAATCAGCCACTATAGAAGTTTGTTTTCTCCCATGTGCTGCCACCTGCCTGGCGTCCAGCGACGAAGGTCTTGGAAGGAACTGGTGGCTGCCCTTGCAAGGGAAATGGCTCGGACACCCCACCTATAGAATTCAGTACTCTTCGGCTGCCAGAGGGAAGCTTTTGCAACCGCTAGGGTGCGTGTATCTTGTGTGGCGGCCCCCCAAAAAACACGACAACATATGTGTCTTGTTCTGCTGACTCCCTTTCAAAGACGACAAAAAAGGGGGGTACCCTCAACCAGTGGATTGCAACTTTTGAAGGGGAAATCCAACGAGCCCTGTAGATGGCGATTCCTGGCTGACCTGGTTTCAAAATCTACCAATGAATTCTATCTATTTGCACCAAAAGGACAGCTTTGCTTCTCCAGCAACAGGGACAGCCCGCACCCAGCCGCGGTAAGTGAGTTGTTCTGCATGAGTTTCACATGGGTAAAGAAGCGGACTTGGATGTCCTGTTGGGGGCAGCCCCCCGAAAAAGAAGGCTTCCCTGACTTCCCCTAATGCCGAGATAAACAGCCAGTGCAGAGTCGGAGGAGTATTCGGATCCTGTCATTTGGGTGTGGGTCAAACATAGGGTGACCCCAAAATGGAACCCTGGTAAATGGAAACAAGGACTTTTTTTTGCGGTGGTTAAGCGTTCACCCATACCCATCTTGCCATTGCTCAGTAGAGAATGTGGGAATGAACACAGGGTCCCCTTAGAGGAAGCCACCAGTTGGATGGTTTATCTCGGCGCCATGGGCCAGTTCTCATTCCCTGCATCTCTCGCAAGCCATTTCAAGAGGCTCGAAAGCTTTGGTGCATTTTGTTTTGGTGTTACAACTTTTCAACTTTTTGCCAAATGGGTTTTCCATGAAACCGCTAACAGTTAAAAACTTTCAGCAGGGGAGCAGAAAGCAAGCGAGAAAACTGAGGAAGGATTCTCGCCGCTTCTTCTTCTGGCGCGTGAAGCGGCGGCTGTTGCAGGCTCTTCGAGCGGCCAGCATTTTTTTATATATTTTTTGTGGGGCGGGTGGATTTGGAGCAAGCGCCTACACTCTCTTCTGAAATATGGCCATGGGGCATAACCTATGGCTCCATCTTGCGGTGGATGAACTTCCATTTGCCACCTATTTTGCCGTTCACCAGGGGTACAGGGTTTTGACCCACAGCCATATAGTTGTCTGATTTCTTGGGATGGTACCCTCCTGTTGGTTGATTTTAGTAACAAATCCAAAAGGAAAGCCACCTCTCTTTTAGTGCCGTCCCCCAAAATGACACACACACACACCTATATGTTGTATTAACTGTAAGGGTTGACAAAACGTGAAACAGAGTCTGAACATCTGAGGCTTGTTCATCATGTAGTGTCGCCTAGGCGCCACCTAGGCCCAGTTTGGCTGCACTTCTTGCACTTAATGGCCTCATAGTACTCTCCCAAATCCAATCGGATGTTGCTTCCCCTCAATTTGGTTGCCATGCTCCTTGCAAAGGGACCGGCTTTGTTATTGACTCCTACTTGGATGTGCGTTGCCAGGTTAGGAAGTGGTTCGCCACCTGGGTTATGACCCACCAATTAGCAGCGGCCAAGTGGGATAGAACCCAGGCTGGCCACTTGCTAACTGAACAACCCGGAAAAGGAACCCCACTGTGGATGGATGCAATCCTGCACCACTTGGACACCAGGGGAAACCATTGTTTGTTGGTTTTTGCAGGGGAAGCGAATCATTCCAGGGTTTCTTTGGTGGTGCAGGTTGGCCTCACAACCCGCCGCCTTTGTACCTACCCGCCTAGGGCTTCCGTAGAGCGGTTTTGTCCGTTTTCTTGGCTGCAGGGCGACTGACTTCCTTTGAGGCACTTCAACCACATCCATCTACACCCTACGTGGATCCAGAAACACCCCTGCTTTTTTTTGGTTTTGCACTCCAACAAACCTAAAAGCCACCCATCCAACCCACCCAGCCACCCTCCAGGGCTCGAGAAATGCCGAACCCCCGATTTCGGCGAGGCCCTTGTTTGGAGTCTTCTGAACCCACCAGCACCCCAACTGTTTTTTCCCATCTCCAGAATCCCAAGTGTCCAAAACGCAGCGGTTGGGACGTGGGTGCGGGCATTGCTTGCTGGTGCTCAGTAGAGAATGTGGGAATGAAACCAGGAATTGGTCCTCTTTAAGGAAACCACCAGTTGGACGGTGTAGTCATTCCAACTCGTTCCCTGCCTATGGCCCCGGCAAGCTTTGGGATGACCATTGGGGAAAACCACTAAAATGATGATATGTCCCACTAACTGGAAAGTTACCCATGGTCTTTTGAAGGCCGAATGAGAAAACACATCAAATTGGTTTCGTGGGGGTGTGCGAGTTTACCCCACTCAAAGGTTGTTCACTTTGAGCAGGGCATTTGCAACGGACAGCCCAGTTGGGACCTGTGGAAACGCTGAAGCTGCCACCTCGAAGTCCCGTGAGGACTTCCTGATCGCTCGCCTGCAGAAGGCGGATGAGAAGCTCACCCATGGAGCCGCGGAGGCGAGCTATGTACATAGATACATAGATACATAGATACATGGATACATGGATACATAGATACATAGATACATAGATACATAGACACATAGACACATAGATACATAGATGCATAGATACATAGATACATAGATACATAGATACATAGACACATAGATACATAGATACATAGATACATAGATACATAGACACATAGACACATAGACACATAGACACATAGATACATAGATACATAGATACGTAGATACATAGATACATAGATACGTAGACACATAGATACATAGATACATAGATACATAGATACATAGATACATAAGTACATAGATACATAGATACATAGATACATAGATACATAGATACACAGAGACATAGAGACATAGAGACATAGATACATAGATACATAGATACATAGATACATAGATACACAGAGACATAGAGACATAGATACATAGATACATAGATACATAGACACATAGATACATACATACATAGATACATAGATACATAGATACATAGATACATAGATACATAGATACATAGATACATAGATACATGGATACATGGATACATAGAAACATAGATACATAGAGACATAGATACATAGATACATAGATACCTAGATACATAGATACATAGATACCTAGATACCTAGATTCATAGATACATAGATACATAGACACATAAATACATAGATACATAGATACATATATACACAGAGACATAGATACATAGATACATAGGTACATAGACACATAGATACATAGATGCATAGATACATACATACATACATAGATACATAGATACATAGATACATAGGTACATAGATACATAGATACATAGATACATAGATACATAGATACATGGATACATGGATACATGGATACATAGATACATAGATGCATAGATACATAGATACCTAGATTCATAGATACATAGATACATCCAGCTGCGCTGTGTGTCTTTGAGCTCGAAGAGCGAGGGCAACCCTACCCGCAAACACTTGGACCCCAAAACATTCCCGGCCTCCCTGGCCTTGCGACGTTGCCCGACCTTCAAAAAACACACAAAATACCGTGCAAATCGCCCCGGACAGTCGCCAGCGCCAACATCCTCGGCATCCTCGCAAACTTCGCCAGTTCCCTGCATCACCAGCATGTGGGCGCTCCAGCATCCCCTGCATCCCCTGCATCGCTCAAACCCTTCAAAAATGGCTGCTGAGAGTAGGTTTTGGCGGTAGGCGGACATGGCGGGTAAGTCTGCGATCGAGTGAGCGGTTTTTCTTGCGCAAGTGTGGCCGCCGCTGCTGTGCGGAAAGCATCGCGCATACCGTGCTTTTCTTCATGTTTCCACCGGTTTCTGTGGGGCTGGGACGGGTGCCGGGGCTGCATTTTTTCGGTCTGATTGGCTTTTGGTGTGAGACACGTGCGGCGCGCGCTTGCGCGACGGATGCAAGTGCCGGACGCAAGCAGGCACACATGTGCTCAAGCTAGGGTGGGTGAGTGCATGCTCAGATTGGGCAAGCAACCTTGCAGCCTCTTGTGCGTGTGGGTTCGCACCGAGCGCGCGCTTGGGTGGTCCGGAGGCCAGGCTCTGAAACAAGGTCCCGCCTAAACAGAGTCACCTGTCCGACCGGCCAGCGCCGAAGCCCTAGGATAGATACATAGATACATAGATACATGTATACATAGATACATAAATACATAGATACATAGATACATAGATACATAGATACATAGATACATAGATACATAGATACATAGATACATACATATACACATATGATATATATATATATATACATATATATATATATGCACCCCCCCCCTCATGGACCATGGTTTTACTGCCGGTAAATCTAGAATCTGGAGTCCATGGGGGGGGGGGGGGGCACATATATATATATATATATATAGTATATTTTGTCAAGAGGGCAGGCGCGCGCCACGGAAAGGGGCATCATAAAATACAGGTTAGTGGACTCGAATTGATAAAATCCTGATAAACACGCACTGGAATCGCTGTCCTTCGTTGTCCCTGTTCTTCTTCTTCTTTTCTCCGCTTCGTGTAGCTCCAAGGCCTCCTCCTGACAGGGCGAAGTAGAAGCAAATTCAACAAATCCGGCTGAACTCAGCAAGCCTACGAGGCTTCCAGTCCCCAACGGTGCACCTGCGTTCGACATCAGCGATAATGCGGTGCTTGTCCATGGAGCTATATTTTCTCATGACCCTTCCCGTGCGCCTCCCCTCTTGGGCGAGGGGTCGGCGGATATACAATGAGTATAGGAATGAATGTAAATGCGTGCAAAGCATCAGTTCATATGGTAATCCCCCCTCCAAAAAAAACTGACAAATATGTGCAATCTATCACATGTTTGTAAGACAGCACATTCTTCTTCTTCTTCTTCACGCATTGCGTCGGTTCCATGGTCACACACCAGAACCACTGTGAGCAAACCATAACCAGACAAAGCAGCGCCCCAAAGATCTACTATTGTCACCATTTGTCTTTGACATCCTAAGCCCAATCCTCAATGATTTGCCGGATTGCGGATTAACGCATTACGGATTAATCCGATTGCTTGGCCCCTCAGTACTTCTTGAAATTGGGGCTTCAGAGAGTTATTCTGAGAGCTTTCGGGCTTTAGCTCTTTAAATGTAACAGATGGACAAATCAAGCTCACTTCAGCAAAAAGTCTCGAGGATAGACTAACTTTGGCAGACAGCGTAATTAAGCAGTCCAAGGAAGGCTACCCTTGGTTGAGAATGATTGACAAGTGTGTGTCCAAGAGAGGGTTGGTTGCCAAGATGACAGGGCAGCGTATGATGCGATCCGTTTTTGACTATGTTTGGGGAGCATTCTTGTGACTATGCGCCTCTTGTTTCTCGCGTTCTTCCTTTTTCCTGGTTTCGCGAGGTATTTATTTATGGTTGCTTAGGTTTTTCTCGCTAGTTTTCTTCCCTTTTTTGCTAGTTGATGTGGGACTAGTTTAGTGGCCGGTCGTCTCTTTCTGAGGCCCCTTTTTTGGTGGTTTGAAAGGGAAACAAGGACAACCAGCTCTTGTTGTTTTTTGTTGGGGGGGTCACGAAAAAAGCACACACACACACACATCTGCATTCTGATAGGAATCCAGCCGAATGAATGGCAAGGGGAGCAAAATCGGCGGGAGGCCCTGATCGAGAAGTGGGCAGAGGAGAGCAAGGTCGACGTCAAGAGCGACAGACATATGGCGCCTTTGCTGCAGGTAATGTCGACCAATAAATCGACTTGGCCCCAAAAATGTCGCCTCCAAAAGGGGACCATACGTATCCTTTTGATTCGTTGGTTTGGTGAGAACTAGATTGCACTGGTCAAGACGATTTACCAGGGCCATGTTGGTTTCTAAAAGGGTCAGGTTGCCATCAACATGCTATTTGAGGTTTGCTTTGTGGCGTTTGCTTGGTTCATTCTTGTTCTTGAGGAACTCCCTCCCTGTTTCCATTTGTGGGAAGCCTTGGCTCAGTTGTTCAGTGGCACTAATAGCCGCATGTTGTTGGCCTGGGGAGCTCACCACTAAACAGAATCAGCCTCCAAACCAGCCGAGCTCGTTGGTGTGGGACCTCAAAAACACCTGCAACTCTCTTTGGCGGCCGGGCGCCTTGTCGAATGAGTTTCATGCTAGTTTGCAGGGCCTGTCTCCAAACGGGGACTGACTCCCCGCGCCCATCACCTAACCCCAAAGGCGTCTAAGGACTGGCCTTTAAAGAAGGTGCTTGCAATTGGGTGTTTGCGCCAAGTTAGCAAGTTGTCAGAAACCCGGGTTAGAAGGGTGAACCCCACTTCAGGACGCGTGGGTTAGAGCCCAGGTTACTTACCAACCTAACCCCAGGTAGGGGATCCCTTTAATCCTCACTTTTACCGTTTCTTTTTTGGGGGATGCGTCACCTACTAAATTAAACTACAGAAAGAAGGGTACCCTTATTCTAACCTCTCTACTGGAGGACCTAGATGTTTTTGGGGAACACCTCCCTTTTGCCCGGTCTGCGGACAGTCTCGCCACGCCTGTGTAGACTCGTGAACATACGGACCCCTCGAGGCAGAGACGGAGATAGAGGCGAGCAAGTCGCACATACACACACACACACATCGATACGTAGATACGTAGAACCGCACAACCTTGATATACACGTGTGCAACTCGGGTATATATCTTCTGCTTGGGCACCGAGCAACATGTTGGGTTGCCTGCAACTTCGCGTATTCGAATCTCAGATTTGAATCCGCGGTGCTGGAAAGGGCAGCATTTTCAATTGCTCGAAGCAAGCTCCAGGCCTGTGGTTGACCCTGTTAGTGAGAGTTTTTGAGAATGCCACCAGCTGTCCAGGCCGGGCTGCCTTGCATATGCGAGGCAGACAAGTCATGAGCTGCGCTGATAACTTGCTGGCAGAACTTCCGTTCCTAAACGCAAGAAGACCCCAAACCCTCTTAGACACCAGGTGTCTAAAACCACCTGCACCAAAGTGGCAGCTAGTCAGGGAAGGGACTGCGCAGTCGCGTAGAGCGCGCAGATAGCGGAGAAGTCACATGGCATGTAGGGCTGGGGACTCGGGATCGACTAGTTTGAAACACGGGTTGGCCTCGACATGCTTAAACATGGACCCGTGTTCTTTCCATTCCCCCCCTTCTCCGGCTCCCTCCTTCTCCCCGCGCCCGGCAGCCGCGAACACGTTGAGGATCTGCGTGCGCGGGGCAGCATGAAAGTCGAGCAAACCCCACCCCCTAACATGTTGCTATAGTTGTTTCATTGCTTCAGGATGCTTTTGAGTGTCCTCGGTCTTGGGCAGGGGATGTTGGTGACCTTACTTGCGTTTTGCATCTGAACTGGAAGCCAACCTTTTTGCCCGGTTGCCCTTTTGTTTCCTTGCATTGGCTCAGGAAAATTGGGTGTGGAGACCCTCTTGCCCTTCAGGGAAGAGGTAGACCCGCCATTCGAACAACCTTTCCCCTGTGCTTCCATGTTCCTGCATGGTAGGCAATAGAGGGAACTAGCTTTTGGACTCTTAAAGGCAGCGTTGGATTACTGTAGTCATGACTGGGATCCAGTTTTGCTCAACCGTCAATGTTTACCAACATGCACTGTTTCTAAGCGGGATGACGTTGGTGTCCCTCAAAAACGCAACGCCCAAAAAATACGAACTAAAAACAGGGGATCACTCCCAAACGGTGAAACATCCCCTCCCCCTCCCTCCCCCCTCCCACTGGATGACTTCCATTCACACTGCAGCATAATGTATGTTTTTCCCCTTGTTGCTTTGGAAGGGAATCAATATCACTACTGAACATATGTTCTCTTTCTTCACGGGGCGAAAAGCAAACGGACACCCAAAGATGTCGGCTTGCCTCCAAAACAGGACCGCAGGTGCCCTTTTGATCGTTCAGTTTGGTTGGACAAAGGTGGGTTCCACTGGTTGAGACGGGTGCTGCACGCCATTTACCAGCACACAAGACGCGCATGGAAGAGGAACCAAAACTTGACTGCTATTGGGTTGGATCTTTAGACTTGAACTTTTTGGTTTGAATTCAAGTTGGGTTTCCACTAAACCCCCCAAAAAAGTGAGAACCTTTTTGCAGGGGGGTCGTTGCAACCCAGAAACGTCGCAGGCCCCGGCCATGTTTTCCGCGCTTCTCGCCTCTGAGGTGGCGTGGTTGGAGGCCCAGGATGCCCGAGAGCCAAGGCGGACCGAAGGAGAACCGATGGATCGATCCCTCCTTCCAACGGGCCCGTCTTTGTTTAACGGGTTGTTGTAAAGGGACACCAAACCCGTTCCGCCATTCTTATTATTATTATTTTGGGGGGGGGGGGTTCCGAATCCAAAAAAAACATCCTTGTTTGGGTTGTCTCCCATTTGCTGAGATGAATATTTGTTCTATTTCACTTGGATGGTTTTAGAGGGAAGCGATTTTTGCCAGGGGGGTTCAGCAAATGGAAGCTGTTTTAAAGGGAAGCCAAAAGGAAGACCGAAGCCATTTGCGGGGGTCCTTTAAAACAAAGACGCAGACCCAATTGGGTGGCCTTTTTTTTTTCTGAGGTAACCCATTTGGAGGTTCCATAAATCCTTTTTTGAGACACATATTGGCTCACTCGAATGCGAATCGCTGTTCCCAGCATTTTGTTGTACGGATGTCCAGGGGAACAAGAGTCAGACTTCCTTTGCTCGGTGGTTCCAAGCAAGCTGGTTCCTTAGGATTGTGTCTTTAGTTGGTTGAGCGGCAGTCCGCCAAACCGCCAAAAGCTACAATTTGAGAAGCATTTGATTACAGATTGCGAATCCAGAAGACGTCACGCCATGTAGGTCAACAAGTCCATAGAGCTGATTGCTGGGGTTCTGATGACTGAAACAAGGCATTTAGTGGACAGTCAACCGGGTAGTGGACCCCTTTGCCTGGGGTTAAAAGGGAAACGAGGCAGAAGCCGAGAAACAAAGTAAGTACCAAGTACAGGCATACCACTACCTCAAGGGGTCTAACCGGGAATTGTTCAATCCACAAAAAACTATCCGGCATCACCCCCCAAACCACAACAAGGGGTTGAACGTGGTGAGTTGTTAAAATATATTTTCTATAGTGGCTATACAGCACGGGTGCATTGATGAAACCCACCCCTCCCACCCCTCTCCAGGGCCACCCATTGTGCGAGCTTAGGTAGAGGCGCGAGCTGCGACTCTGAGAGATGCCTTCCTGAAGTCGCACATCAAGGAGCCCGATGGGTTCCACCGCCCAATTTGGGTGTGTCTTTTTTGGAGGTGGTACCCCTTGCTTGGTGGTTTTCAAGGAAAACCAAAAGGGGGGGGAAAAAAAAACGAAGTCCGTGCATTTCTAGGATTTTGGCCGGGGTTCAAGCAGAAGTGCAACATCCCCACCGGGTCCCTTAAAAATGGTTGATTCGGGGAGGGGGGAGGATTTCGAGTCTTGGAGATCTGCATGAATGGTAACCCATTTTTCTGCAGAAATGGGGAAGGCTAGATAAATGGAATTGGGGGGCACCAATTGGGTATGGATTTTTTTGAGGGTACCTTTTGTTTGGCAGTTTTAAAGGGAAATCAAAAGGAAAAACCGAAGTCATTTTGGGGGGTGGCCTAGAAGAGGACACGCCCATGTATCCTCCATCCAACAATGGAAGCTGAGGCTCGGAGGGTGGAACTTTCCGTTTGAAAGTGGAATCATGTTATTTTATTAGGGTAGAACATATGAGCAAATCACTCATCGAGTCTAAGTTCTAAGTTGACCGCACTTCATGTTGAACGCTGGGATCGATATTCCACTATCTCTTGTGAGGCTGTCTCCTTTGAGGGTAACTGTTGGGGGCTGCTTCCAGGGAAGCTAATAAGAGACTGAAGGGTACTCGGGTGGTCCGTCGTGTTGAGACAGCACCCTTTGGAGGTGGACTTATGTCAGTAGAGGGTTCCATGGGGGGGGGCTGTGGGTATATCTTAAAGCCCTTAATACGGCCTTATTAAAGGGTTAGTAAGGGATAGCCCTACAGGAAAAAGGGTACCCTTATTCTAACCCCTCTACTGGACCTAGCTCACTATAGCCCCCTTAAGGCCCCCACCATTTTGAACGCAGAATCCCCCCTTTTTGGATGGACAGCTCGTGTCGCCGGGCTGGGTTCATTTCTGCGATATGTGTGGGCATGTCCTTGTGGAAACCGACCGTATTATTTATGGAGTGTTGGTTTTTGCCTTTGTGCTTGATGTTAAACGGCAATTCAAAGGAAACCACAACCAACAAATGCGGGGTCCCCTCATTTCAGGACAACCTCAGTTGTTCAGCGGCCCCTTTTTCCCCTTTTTTTTGGTGGCTGCCCCGCTAAAATGGTCTTCCCGAAAAAGGGTTCCCTTTTTTTCCAGGGTCACTGAACCACTGAGCAACGTATGAGTTTAGGAGCCGGAGCCCAGTGATGGACGTGTCTAAATGTCTTACGTCAAGCCCATGCCATGGGTCCCCGACGGGTGGGTCTTTTTTCCGGTTGGGCCGCGCGGGGCAAAGGCTGCGAGCTCTCGCCCAACCGGGGGAGAGGGAAAACCAGACGAACAAACCTTCGGTTTCAACAGGCGCCATGTTTTTGACCAGTCTTGTGAATGTTTTTTTTTTTTTTACGCGGATGGGCAGCCCAAAAAGGGCTCTTTTTGAGCCCAGGATCGCGGAAAAGCTGGGTTTCTGAACTGTTAGGGGAATCGGTCTTTCAGGCGGGTTCCAAGTTGGTTCTGGGTAGCTTCCCCATTCTTTCAAAGCTTTCGAAAAGAACGATTGATTGAAAAGAATGGGGGCTCATCTGTAGAACAATTGACACCCCTTCATGGTGTTGAAAGGGAAACAAAGAAACCAATTTGTCGCCACATGTAGGGGGATCACCTAGCGGATCCCAGTTCCCAGCAGAAAACCCTTCGCCATGTTCCTTTTGTACGGGTGGTTCCCTTGATTACTCCCCTACAAAGTAACATGGAACCCAAAAAGAGGGTCCCCACAAGGAGATGCCTCTAGTTGTGGATTTGTGGGTTCCACGTGAATTTGTAGGGGAGTACCTATTCAGGTAAATGGATCCACTGGGCCGCAAGCACACGGGTGTGTCTCAAAGTTGTAAATGCAACCTCCAAATGCGTGGTACGTATCCCGTTGGTCTCGCTTTTAAGCCAACCACAAAAACCTGGACCCTCAAAGTACCAGCAAACAAGGAAAAATCACGGTCCAGCTACTTGGTTGTTCAATTCGCCGAGTTAGTAAGTGGTCAGCCATGTGGGGCTTTTCACGCATGTAAACAGGTTAACCCCAGTGAACGGGGGACATTTTTTTGTGAGGTGTAACCCGGCAGTTACCAACAACTTGCTAACTTGGCAACGAAGACCCAGGTGCTGGTAGAGGAGGCCCCTAAAAAAGTTCGGCTCCAATGGGAATTCGGAATATTTGATTAGTATGGTCCATCCTGAACTTGAACCAGCTGATGTTTCGCTGGTTTGGTCCATTTTTCTTTTGAAGGGACCATTTCCCGAACTTCAGGTTCCATGTGTTAATTGGTGGGAGGGTAAATTGGTGCGAACTGGATTTCGCAACCATCCAGTATGTACTTTGGGAGCGTTTGTCGGTGTTTACGTAGGGGAATGGAATCAGAAACCGCTGTTTTTCTGCCGGTGGCGCGGATAAAAATCGGATTTCGCCAGCATCCGCCCGTAAAACAATTGGAGCCTTTGGAGAGCTTCTGAGGGGGGGTCAATTGGATTTCACCACCAGCCACCAGTAAACACATTTCGAGCTTCTGAGGGATTTCACAAGCATCCAGCGATCCACCAGTAAAAGATTCGAGCTTTTGAGGGCTGGGGGGGGGGGGGAAATCCATTGGACCCACAATCAAAACCCGAAGGTTAGTCAGGGGCAGTCCCAGCCAGAAATAGTTGCGGCCGCCTTCTTAATTCTTGGTTCTGGGTAGACCATTTTAATACCAGGTTTCGATTGTGACTCAAGTGGATCCGGAGGGCTATCAACCAGCCAGCATTCATGGGGTTTCATCGATCACGACCCGGATTTTGGCCTGCAGTGAGTTGTGTCTCGAAACCGACCCAACCGTGACCCCGGAAAACCGAATTTTGAGCGGGGGAACTCCCGGTGACCTCGGAAAGAGGTCTCCAACAAGAGTTGGGGGTCAACGGGTCAAAATGAGTAGGGTAAATGAGTATGGGTCAAAATTAAACCACCAGGGAACCACCGGCTTTAGGCCTTGGTTCCATTGATCAGGGCAAGCCATGTTGGGGTTACCCACAGCCAAATCATGTTACCCAAAATCAGTGGTTTGGATTGGTTTAGAAGGTCCCCAATACATCAGGTATCCCTTGGTTGCTACTTTGGGGTGACCAACTATTTTTAACCCACCCACAGCCGGTTCAGGAGCTCTACGGACAGCTCTCAGCCTCGGAGCGGGCGGGTCTGCTGGCCAGCTTGCAGGTGCGGACGGATCGATCGGTTTTCTGGGCGAAGGGATGCATGGGGGGGGCTTGAACCTTGGGGGTGTCAGCCGTTTTTAGTTTGTTTTTGTGTTTCCCTTTTCTTTTAAGTTGTTTTTGCCGTTTCTGTTTTTCGGGGATCCCCCCCCCAAAAGGACGGTTCTCCTATTGTGTTTGGTGCCAAATCCCTGACTTAGCCGCAGCAACATACAAAAAAGTTACATTTGGTGCACTAAACTGCATTTATTATGCAGATTTATGTAGTGCATCCTAGGGAACTGGGGTGTCCGACGATGTTTTTGTTGAGGGACCCCCACTGGACTCGACCCAAAAAACTCTTGGGCAAAGATCCTGATTGCTTGTGACAAACCCATCTCAAGCAAGGCACGAGAGTCATGCGATGAAAGTTCGGAAACCAAACGCGTAACACATTAGGAGCATCACCTCCCACAACCTCAGCATCACCTGTTCTTTACTATGTTGTCTTACAAACATGTAGCAGAACAATGCCCCGCGTCATCAGCATCACCCCCAAAACGATGGTTCTCCTATTGTGTTTGTCCCAAAACAGGGACAAGTCATGCCCAAGTGGTTGGGTGATAGGTGTGCCGAAAATACCGGGAGTTGTCCGGCATGTTTGGAAACAATGTCCCAAAACTAGTAGACAAATAGAATAATCCGCGCTCCCGTTGAGACCAGGCAGCAACACCTGGGTTTTTGTTTTGCCCTGCAAGCAAGGAGATATCATGTTTTTTGTTTTTACCCAACAAGGGGAGTTAGCACAAGCTGCGCGAACATACAGCAATCCTACCACTGAGGGATTCGTGTCCTGCTTGTTTGACATGTTTCCCAGACTGCCATCTCCTCCTTAAATTGAGTCCTGTGGGGTCAATGTTTGTCATGTCCCTGGCTTGTAATTATTCTTGACAAATGGACAAAAGGGATACATCTTGATTACCAAGTCGAATCAACCACCCTTCCTCCCACTAATATGGCACCTGTGGGGAGGTACCTGGAAGATCATTTTCCTTAGCTGCCATGGCAACGTGGGAGGGAGGGTAAGTCTAGAATTCTATCATTCTCTCCCAGTCACCGCTTGCGTCGATGGATCGCCAGGCCGTGAAGTGAACGCCCAGCGACGAAAAGCTGCGCGTGGAGCGGCGCCCTGCGCGGCGCAAAGCGCCTCGGCGGGCGAAACTCGGAGCATCTTTGGCGCGGCTGTTCAGGAAGCTCATCTTCGAGCACCGTAGACGTAAACCTACCTGCCTTTTACGTGCAGCGTACGTGTTCGGTGATTGTGCCAACTGTTCGCTCTGAGAGCGCAGAGAGATGCAACATTTGCTTCTCGCAGGTTAGTGGGCGCTTGGGACAGGCGCCCTGGGACTTTGGGTCCGTACATCGAAGCCGCTCTGGACCTTTGGCTGACACACAAAAGGATTGTGTGTCGCTGAGCATCGGTACTTGAGCTGTCCGCTTGAAGGAGAGGTCCGGAGATGTCCGCTTCGGCCGGGTCATAGTCAGATTATTGGTTTGAGGAATGGATGCCTTCTTCTTTCTTTCTTTCTTTATTTTGGGGGGGAACCAAACTGGGTTCAGTTTAGTTCGACACATTTCCGGGACCCGCCCATTGCATCATAGGATGTTGGCTCTTGGCATGCATCCTCGCCCAATGAATGGAACAGCCACTTTTGGGGGTCACATCTCATTTGTTGCATCCCGGTTTCAGAGACTTTCTCAATGGAAGCCAATACGGAGACACCCATGGGCAAAGGATGTTCAACCGCGGTTTCCTCTAGACCCCTCGCCTTGCCTGACCTTTGTCCCAAGGCCCACGCGAATCGACTCATGTTGGTTTCCCTGATTTGGTCCCCGAAAGGTGATCGCCCTTTATTTCCAGCCTAGATCGCCAAGTTGCGATCGCTTTTTTCAGGCACTGCGATCGGTTTTTGGGGTTTCTTGTACATGGAAACAAACAGCAACTGGCGATCCAGGAGGTCCTGAAGAACGGGGCAACTGAGGAACATCCGGGCGAAACGGCGAAACGGGGGTCAACGAAGCGGGAGTCCAATCGTGGATGAAACCGAACCTCGCCATGTTCCGAAGGTTGACCCCGGATCCAAGCAGAGCCGGTCCTACGAATAGGGGGTGTCCCCTCAAGTGATAAATCTCCACCAAAAGGGGGACTCGCCCCCGAAAAAAGCAGCCAGAGGTCTATTTCTCTGTGGTAAACCCACGCTTGATGTTTAGGGGGTTATCCGGATCCTTTTAGTGGGGCTGACCATTTTTGGAGGGGTGTCTTTTCGTTGAAGCTACCCACTTTTGCTTGGTTTCAATAGGAAGCCAAAAGGAAGCAACCCTTTATTGGGGGTTCCAGTTCCTATGTTGAGACGGACCCATAGAGACAGCTTTTCTTTCAAGGGACCTTTGACCGCCTCTCCGGGCCGCCCCCTTCGGGCACGCCGCTCGTTGGGCCCCAAAGTTGCCGGGCTCAGAGCGACATTTGCGCCGCCCAGAGACTTTTTGAATGGAAAGCCCACTCTGTTGATGTGGCTGCGCCTGGTTTGGAGTTGGCACCCCTTTTTTTTGTGGGTTTTGCAGAGGGAAACTAGGGAACCGAAAGGAAAGCCAGCAACATATGTTGGATTCCCCCGACAAAAACACCCACCGTGCTGTTGCTTTTGGGATGGGAAGTCAGTCGATTCAATCTGCCATTGACTTCCTGGCCATGGACGAGCCGACGGGCCAGGGATACTTCAAGTCCTCAAACAAGAGAGCTAAAGAGCCCCCAAATTACCCCCGACATCACTCGGCCAAATTTATGGCGAGCTCACCAATTGGGGGGGGGGGGTAAAACGAGCTCACCATGATGAGGATCCTTTCCTTGAGGAGTCCTTCTTTCAGGTCTTGGAAATGTTGTTCAAAATTTGCGGGAATCATTGGTTAGCTACTTCTGGACAACTTCAATCACGCCCTCACCGGGATTTGGATCGACAGGTTCTCGCCCACGATACGCTTGCTTGCGTGGGAATTCCCTGTTGGTGTGGGAATTAATTTATCGTTTGCCCAGGCTTGTGCTTGTAGTTTAAGCAGATGTCCTATATTCGTCCTGTTGGTATCCTTTCATGTTTCTTTTGTTCCCCTATATTTGCTGTTTTTGAGTTTTTTTTTGGGGGGCGGATCGCAAATGAGTCGCTATTTTGCTACAACACAACGCATCGAGGAGTTTCCATGCGAAAGACTTGAGGTGGCGCGAATCGAACCATGTCGGACCGGCGAGGTCCGGAGCGGGGAAACGTTTAGAGTGGGCTGCGGGCCCAACCCCCCCGCGCTTTGAGGGTTCCCTGCTTGGTTTGAAGGGAAACCAGATGGAACCCCCGCATCTCGGGGCTCCTGTTTTGAAGCAGACATCCCCTTCGGATATCACTTTCAAGGAGCCCTGTCCGCTACGGTGTGGGCCTTCGCGGATGCGCGGATGCCCGAAATCTGCGGAACATGGCACTGTGATCTCATTGAAAGTGACTCCGCTGCAAGTCAACGCAGGTGCCACAAAAGAGCGGCTCCTCAAAAAAGGCACCTCCACGTAAAACATCTAGGAGTGTATGTTTTGCATATGGCTCACGCCAGAATCAAGCATGTTATTCTTGGTAGCAGGGCCAGACTTGTCAAAGGTGCCCCTTTTGGGGCTAGCGCTTGCCGCATTGCTTAGCGGTTCCCTTCCATCCCCTTAAGGTTAAGAGCTTGTCTGGTTTTTAGGGTTTTCGTGGTAGTTTCCACTAAACCACTAAGGTTATATGAACTTCAGCGGGGGATCTGAGCACCGCCCAGATTAGAAAGGGTCCAACAAAATGTACCACTTCGACAGCGAGCGCGGCAGAAGCCCGCTTTGGGTTTTGACGTGGCACTTGGTTTCGCGGACAACAGTAGACAACTCTCCAAACAATCCGATTGACCTTGGCTCATTCTTGGTATGGTGACCTTGCAGCTGCAAGGACGGGACATGTTTGATGAAGATACACATAGACGGCATGAATGTTTGCTGTGTGATAGTACTCATGTGGAAGCATATTCCACAGCCTACGAATAGCGGAATATATTGACTTGTTTACATCTCGTTGCATATCACTAGCTCACCTAGGGGTAAAACGAGCTCACCCATGATGAAGGTGTTTTGCTTGGGCATCCAATTCTTACTTCATTTTCGGGCAGAACTTGCAGATTTCTGCATCCCGGGCGTTTGCGGCCAGCCAATTCCGAAATTCTCATAGACATGGCGGCAAGAGACCGACCATCGCCGGCCACCCGCCGAGACTGAGCCGAGACTGAGCTGTCGGAACCGACCGAGATCTTCCTGGCGGCCAGTGAAAAAGGTGAGAACGGTTCTTCTGGTCTTGCCTGTTCTCGGTACTGCAACTGTTCTTCCTACATGAGCCAGAATTACTCGCGGCCGCCTTCTTAATTCTTTGTATGGCTCTGGGTAGACCATTTTTAAAACCGGGTTTTGATTGTGGCTCACATACAGCAAGGGGTGAGAGGTAGTTCACATGTTCTTTTTTCAGACATGGTAATTGCCAACTGCAGACCGAACGAAGCATCTTCTTGAGTTATTCAGTGCGACTTTCTTTCTTTCTTTCTTTCTTTCTTTCTGTCTGTCTGTCTGTCTGTCTGTCTGTCTGTCTTTCTGTCTTTCTGTCTTTCTGTCTTTCTGTCTTTCTGTCTTTCTGTCTTTCTGTCTTTAGTTCTTTCTTTATTTATTTATTTCTTTCTTTATTTCTTTATTTCGTTCTTTCTTTCTTTTTTTGTTTCTTTATTTATTGATTCTCTCTTTCCTTTTGTTTTTCTTTCCTTTTTTCTTTCTTTCTTTCCTTCTTTCTTTCCTTTTTTCTTTCTTTCTTTCTTTCTTTCCTTCTCAATTTCTTTCCTTCTTTCTTTCTTGCTTTCTTTCCTTCTTGCTTTCTTTCTTTCTTTCTTCTGCCTCGTCGTCTCTCATTATCTCTTTCTCTCTATCTTTCTGCCTGTCTATCTTGCTTCTTCCTTTCTTGCATGCTTCTTTCTGTCTGTCTTTCTTGCTTGCTTTCTTTCCTATTTGTTGTTTCTCTCCCTCTCTCTCTTTCTCTCTCTCTCTCTCCCTCTTTCTCTCTCCCTCTCTCTTACTCTCTCTCTCTCTCTCTCTCTCTCTTGACGCGCGGGCCTCTATCAACATTCATGTGCTCCTCCAGCAGAAATGACACGCACCTTCGCCAAGTTCCCCTCTGCCCAACGATTGAAACATCTCTTTGACTCGTGCCCACAAGTGCGAAAACCATCTTTCAGCCAAGGTTCTAAGAGGTGGACTTTTTGTTTACCGGTCCTTTGGACAAGAAAGTTTGCCCATAGGTCCTTGATAGGTTAGTTGGTTTGAAATAGACATTGACATGGCACTGGTTTAGATTGGTTATTCCTTCCATGTCCCAAGCCAATTTATTCTTTCCGAAAGGTCACCTATGAGCGTGCCCTTCCTGTGTCTCAGCACTGGCTAGGGCGTGCATTGTATTCATGCCATCTTAGCCTGACTGCACTCGCCACCGCCCGGACTCAGCAAGACAGTTTCACCCAAAAACATGCAACGCGCAGGTGGCAGATGTGTCGCCCTGTTCGGGGGCCGGAAGTCGCGCACCGTGGAGGTTGCAGCTCCACGCAAGCTCGGGTTAGGCAACTTCCATCTGAGGCGATGCTATCAGTCCCTGCCAAGAAGGGAACATAGCAACCAGGAAGATGGCAGTGACCTCCCAACCAGGATCCGCAGGGACCGCATGTGGGGAGGTAAATCCACCTTCAGACTTTCTAGCGCGCACCCACATTTAATCTGTTTACAGACAGCTCAAACCTAAAGCACCTTCGGGAGGTTTAAGACGCACATCAAACTGGAGTCGACAAACATGCTTTGGACCCAGTTTGCAAGAACTGTTCAATGTTTTCTCCGAGACACGCAAAACTTGCCAACTTTCCGAGCGTGCCGTTTTCCCAAATCTCCGTAAGTGCTGTGTCAGGGTCTTGATCGCTTGACTGCTATTGGGTTGGATCTTTAGACTTTAACTTTTTGGGAAATCAAGGTGTTTTCCACTAAACCCCCGAAGGAAGAGAGAAACTTTTTGCAGGGGGGTCGTTGCAGCACCCAAGATCGCCTTCAGAAATCGCTCATCCAATGTGCCATGTTCAGCTTGCACGACGCCCCGGGGCTCCTGACGCCTCGTGCCTCGCCCACCCCGCGGGCCTCGCCCACCCCGCCGCCGAACTCCGCGGAGCACGCGGCGCCGGTGGCGCAGCCCGCGGCGCGGGCGAGTCGCGCGGCGACGCCGCGGGGCGCGGAGGGGTGGCGAGGGCTGCAAAGGCGGCTGGCGCGGAAAGCGGGGCAGGCGGGGAAGGAAATCAGACAGAAAAAAGGGCTGCATACTCTTTGTTGCCCAGTGGCGCCATCTGAGTTCTCATTTAGCCTATTCTGAAACCAGCTTAAGCAACCAGAGCAAAACTCATTTAGCCTGTTGAGGGTCATATTTTCACATCCAGACCACAAGTCCACAAGTTAGGGGGGGGGGGGGTGATTTTTGTTTAAACAAACAGGCCCTCACTGAGGGAGGGGGGAGGGGGTGGGGGGGGAGGAAGGGGTCCATATTCAGGGTATTTTTGTGCCCAGCCATATTCCCTAACCTTTTGATCCCATAACATTTCTACGTTTCAGCAACGGATCAACGAACAAGTGAGCAAGGGCAGCTGATACTTCACTGTTGTTGGCATGTGTTATTTTTTGTTAATATGTTTTTTTGGTGTGTGTGTGTGTGTTTTGTTGGTTGTGTTCATTCTTAGGGGGCTGAAAAAAACAAAGGGGGCGGGCCATCAAATTTTTGCCGCCACATTCAGGGGACCCCACCCAATTTGTCCCCACGTTCTCTGAACAAAGTATATAAGTTTGTTTGACACCATTTGAAACCGATTCGCTTTCTGTGGAGTTCACCTGTGCTTTTTTCTGGTTGAACATCTTTTTCTCGGAGCGCGAGGCCTCATGATTTGAGGCTTATGGGGGTTCACTGCCCACATATTTTTCGGCTCTTTCTTGGGCTTCTTGGGCTTCTGTAAAATCCCGGGGTGGATCCACAGATTCGATCCAGCTCCAAACCTCGCTTCCAGAGTTCCGTTTCGGACTTGAGCGACTTTTTGGGTTTGGTTACACCTTTTTTTTGGGTTCAGGAGAGAGAAACTGATCCCCTCTACACATCTCCGGGCCCTTTCTTTTTTGTGTGCCATCCTGCTTTTGCCTTTGCAAGAGCCTCGCGGACCCGCCCAGCGGTCAGCTGGGGCCCCTTGCCATCTACTCGATGGGAAGTGAGTGACACCCTTTCTTTGGTGCATTTTGCCAAGGGATGTTCGGACTTTAACTTTTTGCCTAATGGGTTTTCCGCTTTTAGCGGCAGCCGAACCCAACACCCTCAAACTCCCAAACCCTAAACCCTAAAACCCCCAACCACCCAACCCCCAAGCCCCATCCCCCAAGCGAGTTTCGGAGATCTCCGGCGTCGGTACTCGGCCGCCAGGTCTCAGAGTTCCAGGAGCTGCCGCGGCTCTTGTTCGCCGCGGAGGAGGCGCCGGAGGCGGGGGGGGGGGCCCTTCACTGGGACCGGACCTGTGGCTTCTGGGGTGGGGTGGGGCGGGGTGGAGTGGGGTTTGGTGGGTGGTGTTTTTCTTTTTTTTTGGCGGGGGTGGAGGTGGTGGGGGTTGGGGGGGGGTGGTTGGGGGGCTTTGGTGCAGAAACTGCCGACTTTGGAAAGTTGCGGCAGGGAACGAAACTGAGTCAGTGAGTCAGTGAGTTGGGGGGGAGGGTTTGGTGGGAGCTGCCCCAAGATTAACAAATAGTTGGGGGACAAGAAATATGGGTATGTTGCTTTTGCTTTTTGAAGTGTCCCGACAAGCCACAAAACAACACCATGTCAACAGTTGAGAATCCGCATTGCCACAGTTAGCGGGCCATGGATTTTAGTAGGGAAATCCGTCAGAAGTGGTTGGGGGATATGAATCCTCCCCCAGTTTCTCGTTTTTTTTTTTTTTTTTTTTTTTTTAAATAAGAAAAGGGGGTGGGGTTCCCTTCAAAATCAACAGCCAGAAAAGAGAGCCGATTTTCCCATAGAAATCCAATGGCCTGGCAATTCATACAACTGGTCACACGGCCAAAGGGAGTCCGGACTCCCAAACCCAATAAAACTAACAAAAAGTCTCGATTCAACGTATGGTCTTCTTTTGGTTTCCCTCCAAACTCACTCCCTGAGTTTCGTTTCGGACTGGACCGTCACTTTTCAATTGTTTGACATATAGTGGCAAAGTTTGGTTTCCTAGGTCCCCCAGTAGTGCCCTTTTACCGTTTCTTTTTTGGGGGAGGGTTCCCCTACTAAAATAGACTACAGAAAAAGGTTGGTACCAACTTATTCTAACCTCTCTACCGGAGGACCTGGTTTAGGATCCCCTTGCCTTTGACCCCTCACAAGCCTCAAGTAAACGGAACTGAGTCATGAGCCAACCAGCCAACCAACAGCTCCATTTGGGTGTGGCGCGTGGAGTTCTCCTGTTCGTTTTCTCTTGAAAAACAACCAAGCGACCCTCAAGCTACCCATTGGCTTGCAATCACCCACTTCTATGTTGGCATCTTGAGGGTCCAGGTACCAACTCAATAAAAAAGCCATTACCTATATATACACATACAGTATATGCCCCCCCCCCCCCACCCCGCCCCCCCAACCATGGACCCTGGTTTTACTGCCTTTTGGGGATGGGGGGGGTACCGTATGTGTCCACATATATATATATAGTGAAAATCCACGAAAAGGACGGGGCCTCCCCTGTAAGGGGACACCAACAAAACCGCCGACGGTTTCTTCGGTGTTTCGTCGCTGGCTGAGGCCTGGGCCTCTGCGCTGGAGAGTTGGCCGGAGGTGGCGAAGGCGTCGCACCGCCTGCCCGGGGCCTTCGCGAACGCTGACGCGCCGGCGGGGGAGGAGGTGCCCACGTTGGAGGAGGGGTCTCCCACGTGCGCCTTGCTGCTTTTCAAGCCCCCTGCCCAGCAAAAACATGCGTTCAGTAGTGAAATCGATTCCCGGCGAAAAAAACGCATTTTCCTTTCAGGAAATGCAGGGGGGTACCCTGGTTCTCTCAAAACCTTAAAACAAAAAAATGGGCCCACCTTCCCCCCCCCCCCCGCCCCCCATATAACCCCTCCCCCTCATCACCCCCCCCCCCCTCCCCTCCCTCCCCTACCCCAGACGCCCGCTTATAACCACCTTCCCCTCCACCATATCCCCCCCCACATCACCCGCTCCCCAATATCCCCTCCCACCCCCCCTCCCCCCTCCCCTAATTTACCATGTTTCTTTTGTTTTGGGGGTAGAATATTCCCCGATGGGTGCAGGGGGGCGAGGGGTCTGCGGGTAGGGGCTGTTTTTTTTTGGGTCTTGGAGCTTTTGAGTTTTGAGAGAAGGGGAAGGGTGGGGGGGGCACATGCTGCAAAGTAGAGGATTTTTCGTTGTTGCGATACGTCCACTAGAAAGGAGCTCGCTGGAATTGCGGACTTGCAGCCAAGCTTGTTGACCCTGATCAATCGACTCTCTAGCTGGCAATCAGGGGGAGTTCCGCTGAAGGAATCGAATCTTCACTCAGACTTGTTTTGTTGTTTTTTAAGAACAAAACAAAAATGTGAGAGAGAGAGAGAGAGAGAGAAAGAGAGAGAGAGAGAGAGAGAGATTGCTGCGAGCTTCCTGGGTTCCGTGCCTTTTCGAACAAGACGGGGAAATTCAGCCCCCCCCCTCCAAAGCCCAAACAAGCGAGACCTGCACCCTCAGTATGCTTGGCACCCCCCACCCGTTCTTTTTTCCCCCCCCCCCCCCGCGAACAAGACACAAACACACAAAAGATGCGGCGGCCGCCTTAGCGCCGCCTTAGCGGCGCGCCCGGAACGGCGCCGCGGC